TTAGGAGGCTTACCTTTGAAGAATATCTGGTTTTCTTGATTGATCATCGGATTCATAATCACCAGACTTGATCCGATCTTGTAAGTCTTCACTCCTTATTCTCATTTCTATATTGTGTTATTATTGTATGAAACTGTGAATAGAGTAGTTATTTTGTTGTTACTGCTTGAACCATAAAAATCGTTTAAACCATTGAATTTATGTTCTGTTGAATATGAGTTGAGGGATAGAGAAGTATAGAACAAAGTGAAAGTTGTTGTTCTATGGGAATTAAAAACATGGTAATTTTTGTTGTTGTCTAGGCATAGAAATAAAGCGAGAAAGATGAAGATGATGAAAAGGAGATAGCGATGGAAGAAGGATTTAGGATTGAAGAGAATTTTGTTGTTGTTTTTACGGTTAGAGAAGAACAGAGGAAACAATTCAGGAAAGAGAATTTAGCGTGAAAATAAAATAATAGCGAAAAGAAAAATAGCAAAAAGAAATATCCAAATTTGTGTTGAACCCATGACACTTTAAAGTATAAATTCAAAGTTAGAACCACTGCATCATTACAATCAATTGTGATAAAAAAATTCAATTAAATGAATATAATCATTATCATTTCTCAAATAAATATTTTGAAAATTCTCCAACAATTCCCAACCATTTTCAAAATATATCTAAATCTATTATTCAGAAAATTTCATGGTTTCAGATAAGGTATCTTACAATTTGAATCATTACTTAGTAAGTTAAGTTTTTACTCATCCCTGAATAGATTGGTAGACAAGCTTTGAACCAATTATTCATTAGAATAAATGTGCATAACTCACATACGAAATCTCGGTACCATTGATTGAATTATCAATATGACACATTAAATAAGGACCCGTGTCTCATATCATTTTCATGAGAGTTTAAGAGTCAAGCCCTTGAACTCTACGAAGCGGCACCACTTCATTCTCATATAGGTAGACTACATCAGAAATGAACCCATAATAATGCATTCCAGCAAACATATGTTATATGTCTATTAAGAGGAAAACCTCATCCTTTCACATTTATTCTTACGGTCCAAGTACTTTTATCCTTGGGACATATTTAATGTCAAGTACTTCAATCACTCTAATAGTTTACTTTCATCATTGAACTCAAGACTTAAAATTAATCAAGTGTGAGTTGAGTTTCCACCATTGATGATTAATTAGATATGGACTTACTTCACATCCTTTAACCATGTCTTCTTTGTATTCAGTTATATCCAAAGACATCATATCCTTGTCAGTCCTTTTGTCAAAGAATCACAAGAGTTTTCAAACTTTAATAAATTTTGAATATTCAATCTTTCATATAGTCATGTATATGATTACTTTATGTAATCTTGATAGCATTTACCAACTAACATCAAACCTTGTCATCTTTGTCATATTAGTACATTTATCATATGCTAAATATATTATATATTCTTGATAGTTTCAACAAACTATCATCATAATATTTTTGTCATTTAATTATGTTTTATCATATACACAAATTTAATGTCCATCTTCATTTGCTAACCTTTTTAGTTTGAAGGTTTTCTTCCACTTAAATATATCCAAAATATATTCAATACATTAAATATTTATAACAATCGACAACCATGATCATACAAATTTGTCATGGCTAACCTTTATTTTATGAAGTGAGTCCAAACATGTAATTCATAAACTCCATATACATACAACATCGGAGAATTTATTTCTATTCTTTTAAAATAACAATTTTCTTGCATAATAAAATATACAATTGAAACATGTCATAGATATTTTTTACATTTCATTTACATCATTTTACGTTACCAATACATGCATCATATATTCAAATTCATGATTTTGTTTTTCACCAAATTATTTCATCTAGAAATAATGAATTATTAATTAGAATAAATAACTTCCACTAAAGAATACTACCTTCGTTCCTTTTTATAAGATACAACTCACTTTTTAGATTTATTGAATAGTCAATGTATCTAGTCTATAAACAAACCAAATACATTGACTATTCAATGTACCTAAAAAGTAACTTGTCTCTTATAAAAAAGAACATATGTAGTAATGTTTAACATGTATTTTACATTCAAGTATACACCATAAATCAAATATGTTATTAATTATCCAAATTCACATACTTGAATAATTAATAAATCATGCATATATAAATTTAATATAGTTATGTACCTTTCATCATGATTATAAATAAGGAAGCATGCAAGTTTATTTCTCCATCAAAGTTATAGTCACAAATTAACCACAAAAGTTATAAATCAAAATTTCATAATTTAAAAATTATATGAAATAATTGTGTACCTTTCACCGCGTTAAAAGTTAGTATCATTTTTGTCATTTAATTACATTTTGTCATATATACAAATTTAATGTTAATCTTCATTTTCTAACCTTTTTAGTTTGAAGGTTTTCTTCCACTTAAATATATCTAAAATATATTCAATACATTAAACATTTATAGCAATCGACAACCATGATCATACAAATTTGTCATGACTAATTTTTATTTTATGAAGTGAGTACAAACATGTAATTCATAAACTCCATATACATACAACATCATAGAATTTATTTCTATTCTTTTAAAATAAATAATTTTCTTACATAATAAAATATATAATTGAAATATGTCATAGATATTTTTAACATTTCATTTACATCATTTTACGTTACCAATACATGCATCATATATTCAAATTCATGATTTGGTTTTTCACCAAATTATTTCATCTAGAAATAATAAATTATTAATTAGAATAAATTACTTGCACTAAAGAATAATATTTAACATGTATTTTACATTCAAGTATACACCATAAACCAAATATATTATTAATTATCCAAATTCACATACTTGAATAATTTATAAATCATGCATATATAAATTTAATATAATTATGTACCTTTCACCATGATTATGAATAAGGAAGCATGCAAGTTTATTTCTCCATCAAAGTTGTAGTCACAAATTAACCACAAAAAATTATAAATGAAAAATTCATAATTTAAAAATTATATGAATTAATTTTGTATCTTTCACCGTCATTGAAAGTAGATATCATCTTCTTTAAAATTGCATACTTTAATATTAACTATAAATAAAGTATAGATCAAATAAAAAATCGAACCTAAAGATTGTTAGAACACTTTGTTGGTGGTAATAGCGTTGCAACAAAGAAGAAGAACCAAACATAGAAAATCATTAGTACATATAATTGTGAATATCCTGGACAATAAACAACAAACACTACTAAAAAAATGACATTTGAGAAAAGATTTTTACATCAGGTATCAAAATATATGATGTAAAAAATAAAATTAAAAACATTTTACATCAGATATTTATTTGCAATGATATAAATAATATGAAAAAAATTATTTTTCACTATCTATTACATCGGGCCATTTAATCCACCGATGTAAAAGGTTTGGTGAAAAAAACACGGTGACATTTTTGTAAATAAGAAACCAGGTGGCAGAATTGTAAATAAAAAACTGGTCAGATATTACATCGGTCTCTGCAGTCCACCGATGTAAAAAGTCTGTGGCAGATTGGTAATATAAAAAATATATTAAAAACCTTACATCGGGGAATTCTAAAAATCGATGTAAAAAACATCAACGCCCGAACCTTACATCGGGCCATTCTTTAAACCGATGTAAAAAACTACCTTACATCGGGCCTTCTGTAAATCGATGTAAAAATCATCAGCGCCAGAACCTTGCATCGAGCCATTCTAAAAATCGATGTAAAAAACATCACGGGGCGAACCCTTACATCGAGCCAAGGGTTGCACCGATATATATATATATATATATATATATATATATATATATATATATATATATATATATATATATATATATATATATATATATATATATATATATATATATATATATATATATAATGTTGAACTAACCCCTAAATGCAAATTATTTCGTCACTGTTCAACTTCTCTCGCCTACGTCGTTCCGCCCCCGTATCGCCTACGTCGCTCTGTCGTCTCGCCTACGCCGCTCCTCACAGATTTCACGTCTCCTCGCCGTCGGCTGCACGAAGACATCCTCTGCCGTCCATTCGCCGTCCGTTTCGTCGTCCGTTCGTCGTCTTCGAAACATCCTCCGCTGTCCAACTACGATTCCGGTACAAAACTTTCTATTTTGTTCAACTTCATTGTATATCTAGGAATTGGTTGAAAGTTTATATAGAATTATTTCCAAGATGTTGGCTTCTAGGTTGAAGAGGGTCATGGGTAAGTTGATATCTCAATGTCAAGCAACTTTTGTATTCCAAAGACAAACATTGGTGTTTTAGTTTCTAAGAGTTAAATATACAAAAAAGTTTTTAAGATATTCTTGTTTCTTTGTTTGTTACTGAGATTCATTATAAAAAATTAGAAATACATAGAAAAATAATTAGAAGATTATACTATGAATCCATTACTTTGTTCATATATGTTTTTTAATTACTAAACAGTTTATTATTATTAGAGAGGTTAATTAAGTCTAATTAATTATAAATAGTATATATTTTGTATAAAGTTAAGAATATAATACATGTTGTGTATAATTAGTCATTCTTTTTCATTAGAGAAATTGTCTATTTAGAAACCTCCTAAAAAAGCGTTAATGGTCTTCTCAGAAACACACAGTTTATCTTTAACCTATCAAACTTAATAGAGTTATCACCTTGTCATTGAAATATTTGATTCTATTTTTCTTTCTCCGCGAAGGAGCGCAACTTGCAATCTCGGAATCTCCGTGAAGTAGCGCAGCCGCGGACACACCGTTCGTCAGACCTTCCTCCGTGTGAACATAGTTATGGATCGTAGTTAGACGAGAGCTAATCGATTAACTGACGAGTACGAACATGGCTAACAAAAAAATCAGCATATTATCATTGTTTAAAATACAAAAGATCAAACTGAATCTATTGAATTTCTGGGTTTTTCTTTTTCATTAATCAGCTCAATAATATGGCTGAAGTGAGGAATTTCCACTTCCGGTGTACCTCCTTTGTTGGTTTAATTGTTCCAAATCCTCCTTAAATATCCAACGATAACCACAATTTTTTACTTCCAAGAGCAAACCAAGGGGGTGCAAAACTAAAGCTGTTAATTCAATACCACTAAAATCATCATGCAATCCCTCTGTTATAGAGCACATGCTACGAATAACTCTCTCCCTACTGAAAAAGGTTAGAAACAAGTGGTCTAATTCAACTGTGACCAGATCTTTTCCAAGACGTATGGGGATATCTGAATAGATCCCACGGCCATGCTGTTTACTATGAAAACCAAAGCCTAACACATAAGGTTCTTGTCTACCTAACTTAGTTGGATCATCATGTGCTACAAATGTTAAGCAGCAAGCAACGCCTATCCAATTCTTGTCATGCATAAAGGGTGATGGATCGATGCTCATTGAACTACCTACATTTTGTTTGTTGAACCACTTTGGAATTTCAGTTTGGGGAATAACAATTTTAATCTCTTCCATTGGGATCTCGGATTGCATGTGCACCTGGTACCAAATATATTTAGTTATGCATCAGTTCAATCACATAAAAATAAATATAGACAAAAGGAAAAAGGATGGAGTCAGAACCTGAAGGAGTCGTATCATCCAAGAAAAAGCCATTCCATAACAGCATTCAATATCAATTAAACTCGGGCAGTCAAAAATATTAAATTCAGCATCATGGTAAGAAAATGCTGTTCTTCTTACTGACAAGACATTCTTTGATGGGAGCTCAGGCAAATATTTCAGCTGCTTACAGTGCTCCAAGTTTAATTTTCTAAGTTTGGAAAGTTCCTTGATGCTAGAAGGCAGTGTCACAAAATTGTTACCCCCCAAATATAGGGTTTCTAAGCAATGTAACAACCCAATTGCATAAGGGGTTTGAAGAAGATTGCAGAAACTCAGGTCAAGATATTGCAAACGTGACAAACAAGACAATGAAGGCAACAGTAAACCAACTGAATCTTGAGGTTTTCGGAAAAACAAAAATCGAAAGTGCGGCTCTAGAAATTTGTAGATGAAGGATTTTGTTTGGTATTGAGTAATACTTCCCTTGTTATCAAGCATCTCCGGTTTTCCTATTTGTCTTTGTAATTCTAACAACTTATTATTAAATAAATTTGGACAACCTGAGAGACTTAGATCTTCAAGAGAATTCAGACCAAAAATGTTGTTAGGAATACTGATCAGATTTATACAATTTTTCAAATTTAATCTGGAAAGCCTTCTTAAGGTACCAATAGATGGATCAATCTTCACGAGTTTTATACATCCTTCAAGATCGAGCCTCTCAAGATTTGGAATGTCCTCAAAATTTGGCATCATAATAAGATTTTTTGAGTGAGAGAGATCAATAAGTGTCAAGTTAGGTAGATTCTGCAGGCAATAAAGAACAGAAAGAGACAAATTAAAAATCATACTTTAACTTTAATTGTGGAAGTATAAATGTTACGAGATAAAAACTTTTTATGTGTTCATCATAAAAAAGAAAACCAAAGACCCATAACCATTTCTATAGTACCTTTGTGCCCTCCCATAGTTTCTTAATGTTGCTGTGTCGTAGGACCAATTCAACAAGTTTATAGGGCTGAAAACTTGATGGTAAACTAGAGACATGATATCTATCCCAATACAGATACCCCAATTCACTTGAAAGAAAATTGACATTTCCTGAGAAATTGAACATCATCAGCTTGAGCAATTTAAGGCGACTCATTTTTGCTAAAGCTTCGGCTCTCAATGTTATCTTTTGTATTTCTTTACAATTTTCTGAATCATACTGCATAACTATGGCTTCAAGGTTTTCTGTTGCCTACAGTATTGCAAATGAAATTAAAAATGTAGATACTTCAAAATTAATAATCAATTGTTGAAAAAGTGGCAAGCAATAGTTTTATTTCAATAACTATTTTACCATGTTTTCTGAGATAACATTGTGGACATCCTTGTAGTCCCACAACCTGTTCCACTTTCTTGGTTCTTTGGGTGATATTTCTCTAATGATACTCTTTCCCAGTTCTCTTAACAAATCATGCATACAAATTATCTGCTTCTCACGGGTTATGAACGATTTATCAATGAGAACTCTTAAACCAATTTCAGGATGAAATCCACGGAAATCTAAAATTTTCTTCAGGCGTGTCTCGCTGTATCTATTAAAGAAACAAGCAATATCTAGAAATATATCCTTTTCTGTATCCTCTAATCCATCAAAACTCATTCGGAGTACATTCATAATATCTATCCTTGGATTATCTCTTAATCTTGACAATGCACTTCTCCACTCAGAGACATCTCGGCCATATAGAAATGAGCCCAACACTTTAATTGCTAGTGGAAGGCCACCAACATAGTTTAGCACATCATATGTCAAGTATATGTAACCGCTCATGATATCATCACTTTTGAAAGCTTTCCTACAAAACAATTGCAGGGCATCTTTACGATCCAAGAGTCGAACTCTGTATACTTCATCTACTCCATGCTCTCTCAAGATATGCCCATCTCTAGAAATAATGATTATTCTACTCCCTGTGCCTAGCCATTCTGTTTTCATCAACAATTTATCCAGTTGTTCACCTTCATCAACATTATCAAGAACAACAAGGGATTTTATTTGACATAGCCTAGTTCGAATCAAATTAGATGCCATATAAAGATTGGATATCTGAAGATTTTCTTCATTTAGAGTTTGACAAAGAAGTTGCTTTTGTATTCCAATTGGCCCATGGTCTCCATAAATTTTACTTACATCATGAATAAAGCAGCAAGCATCAAATTGATTGGAGATTCTAGCATACAAGGCAGTAGCAAGAGTTGTCTTCCCTATTCCACCCATTCCACAAATCCCTACAACTCGAACATCATCTGAGTCCAAAACCAGAAGGTTTTCTAGTTCTTCCACTGGCGAGTTCATCCCAACTATATCGGCAGGTAAAATTGAAGGTTTGTTTCCCAATAAGCATGTTACCTCTTTAATAATTTTTCCAATCTCAGCATATTGTGGCCTAAAAGACCAGAGGACAGAAATATCAAATCATCACCTCGAAACAAAAACTAGAAAATAGTTCAAGTAGTTGCAAAGATAGAAAAGAGTACTTACTTATCCCTTACATCGCAACCAGAGAGATCGGCTACTTGTTTTAGGGCTCCCCTCCATCTTTGCACTTTAGTTGCTTTGAACTTTTCTTCATGCTCTTGAAAGGCTTTTTCGTAATCTCCGGTTTGTTTTCGTACCTCAGAAGGACTGACATCATAGAAAATAGGTAGAACAGATTGTCCTGGAACTTGAATGCAGTGAGCAATTTTTGCGAGTTCTTGCAAGCACCACGTGGAAGAAGCATAGTTTGTTGAGAAGATTACAATCAAAATACGGGATCCTTGAATAGCTTGTAGAAGTTCAGATGATATATGTTCCCCTTTCTTGAGCTTTGTATCATCTCTGAAGGAAACAATGCCTTTATTATGAAGAGCGCCAAAGAGGTGATCGGTGAAATTGTTGCGGGTGTCTTCACCTCTAAAGCTCACAAACACATCATATTTCCATCTCATACTAGCTGAACAGCCGCTTTGGAGGTTATTGCAAGCCAATGCCATTGCTGCAATAGTAAAAGTCAAAACCAAGTTTCTGTGAAACTAAAAGTCTGCAAAGCAAGGAAAAATTAGATAAATAATAAGATTGATCATATATGATATAGATGAATGGAAGGAAAAAGTGTAAGTAAATAAGATTTAAGATGAAAGAATAGATGTTAAAATTTTATTAATTGTGACGGCCTTCTCTTTTCCTAACTTATTTTAAGGATAGTACAATTAATATGATTGATCATACATATATGATAGACATGAAGTGAAGAAAACAGGCAGATATAAACTAAGTAACCATCTTAATATAACATTTGAGTAGTGCTAATATGAAAATATGCATGATGATGATCTAAATATATAAAGACTAAAGTTAAAATAGGAAAAGATGAACTTCGGTAGATGGTGAACAATAATGTATGAGGAGCGTGAGGAATATAGAGATGAATCTGGACAGAGTCAATGGAGAACTAACCAGGTAATTGGGAATGGATGAAATGCTTGTTTTTCTTCTTCTTCTTTTGTGATAAGTCAAAGCAGCCTTAATTCCTTCCTTGCAGCTTCCTTCGTTCCACCACTTCAATCACAGTTTTGGATTTTTCTCCTCAGAAGTCATCTAAGTACACCGTTGGACCAAGTCAATTGGATTTGCGTAACATGTTATTGTGAGAGAAAAGTGAAGGTAGATTCTCATTAAATATAATGTATGTGATTTACATCATATATACATGGAGGTAAAACTCACTATAAGCAAATGTGTATAATAGGGGTGTTCAAAAATATGGTTAATTGAATTGTATATTTAAACTAAACTGTATTGTACTATAAAAAAACTAAATCATTTAAATTGTTAATGTTCTGGACTGGGCCTGCACTTGGTCCAAGTGTCATGCAAGACCCAATCCAATAGTGTTACATGGAAAGTCCAACAAGACGTCGGTAGATTAGATCTGTCCTTGGCCCTCCGTCGGACAGGATCCGTCACTGCTCGACTGCTAGGAAGGTCCACTACGTAGGCCACGTAACCGTGGCAATTGGACAGACCTTTCCTCAACCCAATTGATCACAAAGTGTCGTAGCATTCCCTTGTTGGTCGCACATGAAACATGTCATGACGCTTAGTCAGACATTGTCTTTTTTTGCCAGTATTGACCAACACATATTCGTCCATGTTGTCTTCCATTGGATTCTAAATATTCTCCTTTCACTTAGATTTGTGATACTCACCAAGATATCAAAACATCACATTTGTGACATCTCTCAATTATAAAGACCTGAAGGATCCTTTTAGCATCTGAAGAGAAAAATAAATTCTCCCAGACATAACCATTAATCACCAGAGAGATATGTGAACTTCTGATCCACCAGCTTCACATGGCTAAGACCAACCATGCCTTGTCAATAACGTCAATAATTTTATAATGTCACAATATGTTGTCTGACATCACATCCTCATAAGAGGCATAAGATCTCCACAAGCTTGAACAACACTCTAACAAAATTTGTACCATTACAGCAACAATCCACAGACAAGTACATGACTCCCCTGTCATGAATAACTAATACTCCAGCTGAAGATGAAAGCTTGAGTACTAGATGAAAGACTTCAACATTTCCCGCAAATGCTCAACCTTTACTCCCTCATTAGAGTCAAATCAGAGTCAGATATTTTCACTCCTTGAGAATACTTTCAGGAACTCTGACTTCTTCAAGGACACGTTTGTATACTGTCTTTTCATAACCATACTATGTATCATGGTCTTTTGAAAAGGCAGGATGTCATGCATACTAGGTGTGAAGTCACTCACAAACTCCAAAACTCTTAGTTTGCTTAAAAGCTTTACTAAGATCCAAATCTTTTCTAGAGTGACTTTCAACAGAAGAAAAAAAATACCTCTTTAAAACACTCTGCTCAGACCTCAGTATCTGTCAGCATCCTTCTTCCCTTACATCCACTAGTAGTTGCTGATACTAGTGGAGTCTTCAACAATGTAGTCATGCATTCACAAAGCATACTACTGTAAATAGGATTAGTTATCCACATTTTAATCCACCTAGTAAAAAAATGTCACTTCTGACAATAATGTTTGAGCATCTAACTTCACATGCACAATCCCAAGTGGTAAAACAAAACAGTCATCAAAAATCAACTCCATAATACAGAATTCAATCAAATTGGTTCTTGATCTATTATTTAAAGGACTCACTGTGCATAAAAATTCTCTTAAAAAGCTCCCATTAGAACACATAACCGATGCAACTTACTCAGGTTTTTCCAAACACTTGAAAGCAATTGAGAGAAATAAACTCTCACATATTCTCTGAACCATAATGTTAAGAATGAAGATTTCCATAATTTCCTCAAACAAATACTTAGTCTCTCGTCAAAGTATTCACCATCAGTGTTCATGCATAACATCCTTTGAGGATAGACAAATACTCAGCTCCCGTCAAAATATTTATCAAAAGTCAGATAAGATTACCTTCTCACACAAGGTAAGACATTTTATTTGACATCTTTCTTATGCATACATATGACACCAACTGATGACATTCATTCATGTCATAAAAATGTTCCAGATTAGGTCAGTGGCTTGACCTTATCTCCACTCTGGACAATAACAACTTCCTTAGATGAAGGAATAACACAACCTTTGAGATGATGTTCCAACATCGGATTTGACATCAGTCTGGAACACATAGATTTCACCATTAACTATGGTTTGGAGACACCATAGTAATTCATAAATCTTGCAAGGGATACAAGAGGATCAACCATCAGTACTTGATCAACTTTCCACACCGGATCATACATACATACAAAAACTTGCATATTACACATCTCAAGAATCTTCTTCTTAATCTTTTGAACTTAAAACCTACTGTCTGACTTTGAGATGTTGGAAGCCATTCTTCTGCATCTAAAGAGGAGATTCCCTATAACAGGTATATGGAGAAAACTTCAACAACCATGGAAATGTATGATCATGTTTCACCACAAGTAGACTGTTCAGATAAGTTTGTTTCTCCTAATACACAAGGATCCCCTTCAGTCCTTGCAGACACATATGTTCCATTATGTGAGGACACCACATAATTGAATCCTTGACACCACTCATTATTTCCCAATAAGTTGTGACATCAGATGAGTGCAAGTGTAGAGCTTGAGCAATCTCTTCTGACTTTGGGTCTCTTTCCGTACCGTTGAAAGTAGTTGGTTGAGAATGGGAATCCTCAAGAGTCGGGAGAATTCTTCCAAAGTAGGTACAAGTTGATAATCAGGAAATGTGAAGCAATGGTGTAAAGGATCAAAGAACTGAAAGAGCACCTTCATCATGTCCTCATCTGTGTTGGAGGTGACCAAGTTGAGTAGGCGACCATGTCTCTCGGTGAATGGAGAGTTTTCAGGAATCCTTGAAGCTAGCTCCTTAAGTTGTGGAGGGATCCTTACAAGGTCGACTTGAATAATTTTCCTGCGAAGAGAATCCATATCCTACAAAACAAAGACAAAGATGAATCCCAAAATCCTTGAAATGGTTAGTGAATGTGTATGATGTTATGATGTTCATAATGTTATGTACAAGTATGTATATACAAACAAAGCAAACAAGTCATTAGGTTTAGTCTTGCATGGAGTCTCATAGGTAAGTACCCTCTTGAAGTTTAGTTGGCTCAAACTTGTCCTAGTAATAGTAATCGGGTTCTAAGGAGCTCAATATCACTGGTTTGTTTCCTTGTTCATTGTTTCAGCACAAGCCTCTTTAATGGAGACCGAAATATCCCAAGAAACCAAACCTCAATGAGTGTAGTATCGAGTATCTACCAACTTCGGACTGCACCAAAGCCGGTGATCTCACTACATCCTAAAGGCCAAGTTGATCAAGTAAAGGTTCTAGAAGTTCATTAGTGCTTCATGACATCACTCAGCGGCCCCGTATTCTCTTTGATTAACTCAAAGGCTACCGGTACCCACAAATATGTAGCACTAACGTAGCTATTGCTTAGACCATATTGGTATACCCCGCACAGTTTCCACAACGTATTGCTTCTTACCTATAATGTATCCCAAATCTGGGTAGAGGATTCAAACCCAAACAAAGAATCATAATGTAAAACATACAAATCAAACAATGAAAGCAAGTAAATATGATCTAACCCTAAGGTAACCCCACTTTTAAAAAAATTCCCCAGTAAAGTCGCCAGTTCTATAATACGGTGGGTGAACTGACTTGAGGGTTTTGCGTTTTATCGCAAATGTTGCGGTTAGCAAGAGTCGCCACCGACTTTTCTTTTATCCAAAAGGAAAGGTGAAAAAGCACAGGAAAGACCTTTAAGATTATTTCTTGAGTTCGAGGGGTAAATTATGAAAAGGGAAGGTATTAGCACCCTTTTCATCCATGGTTTTTCATAGGCTCTTAGTTACTTTCTAGATCACTTGCTTTTTGTTTAAAATCGTGCTTGGTATGGTTTTTGAAAGTATTTTGTAAAGAGGCCATTGTTTAGGCAATCTTTGTAATGATTCTTGTTTGTAAGAATGTATACAAAGAGATGTTTGATCTTTTGAAAATGTTTTCAAGTTTGTAAGATGTTTGAAAGTGTAAGTGTTGGTTTTTGAAAATAGCAAGGATGTTTGTTTGAAATTGAGAAAGTAATTAGGAGCCTTCTACCTACTCAAAAGTCTTTCTTGTTCATTTTCTTTTCCTTTGACATTGTTGTCTTACCATTGATTTGGTAAGCAACCCTATCTTTAGGTGTAAACGGGACGGGCATGGGTCATCGTATAACCATGATTAGAAATATTGCAAGGTATATTAGCATTCTCTTTTAGGGACTAAGATCATTTGAAAGGCAACTTAGATAGCGTCATCGAGGGACTATGATCTTGTATTTGCTTGTTTTTGCTAAGATACCTTACATGTGTAATATGGCCATTTTGTATAAGGCAACCAAGTGGAATAACCCTAGGGGTGCTTGTGTGCAAGTGTATCATTTTCATGCTTGTTTTTGTCTTT